ACTCCCGCAGGGTCCTGGATGCAGTCGAGGTGTCGGCGCTGCGTGCTCCAGATCTCCTCCATTCGGGCGCGGTCGATCAAAGGGACGCCCATGCTGTCCGTCACGTGCCAGAAGGTGTCCAGCACCTCTTGGACCAGCCGCTCCGTCTCCACTGCACCCCTGGTGCGGCGCCGGCAGTGACGGGCGAGCTCCTTGGCGGACAGCTTGACCTCCTGGGCGTCCCTCCCCTCCTCGGACTGCTTGGCTCCTCTCAGGCGGGACACGTCTTCGGCGTCCCACTCAAAAATGGCGAAGGAGAGCCTCGCCATGAAGAGGCCGTAGAGCTGGTGGCTGTCGGTGGTCACCCCCTCTGGCGAAACGCCGCATGAGGTGCCACACGTCGAGCCTGACGACCAGCTCGTGCCACTCGTGGAACAGCTTGGACGTTTGACACTGTCCCACGGTGGCACAGCAGTCCCGGTCCACGTACAGGACCCTTGGAGGGGCCTTCCCGGCTTCGCGGTACCATGCCATGTCGACAAGTCCGCCCCCCCTCAGCTGCGGTGAGGACGGACATGAGCACCTGCCCGTACTCATTGCCGACGTTGGTGACCCAGGCGGCCGTCCCGGCAGCACCGCCCGCAAGCTTTTTGGTGATCTGTGTGACACAGCAACACAACAACATTCAGACACATGACAAAACAAACATTACACTGGGTACACGGCACGCTGTGGTGGATAACAAAACCTACCTTCTTGGTGGAGTCCATCTTCAAAAGATCACCAAAGATGGAAGTGACTCTGGCTCTCGTCTCGTCGAGCCTCGTCAAGGCGTCCCTGACGTAGACGTTGATGAGCCAGAGCACTGTGGGCACCGGGTGCATGGTTGGGAGCGACGACGCCGCCAGCGGCGCAGCGCCCGGTACCCGAAGCTTGCGGAGCACGGAAAGGTACAGCATCGACCGCGCCATCCACTCTCTGGTGTGCTGCTCCACCAGAGAGGCACGGAGGCGAGACGCACTGTTGCCCAAAGTGCGCTCCTTCATGAGCCCGATCACAGCTCTGTCGCAGGACAACCTGGGAGGGGAAAGAGGTGATCAGAGGTTACTGGAGAAAACCACAGAAATACATTACTGTTGCTGTTACTGTTTACATTACTTACTTGTACGTGAGAACTGCTGGAAACTGCTCACGATGGGCCATGTCCAGCTGTCCCAAGATGTCCTGCGACCATCCCGGCATCTTCTTGTGACAGGAGCTGCATTCCAGGTACTCCGTGCCCATGAAGTACCAGCAGCTCCTGTCCAAGACCCTCCTCACCGTCTTGTAGAGGCCAGCTCCCGCAAGCTTGCCCCCACAGGCGACGATGGGGCAGCGGAGGTGGTACGCCCACATCCTGTAGGGCACCCACAGGAAAAAGGGACTCTGGAAAAAGGGGTGGGCTGTGGCGGGTGGCTGGGTGTAGAGGGGCCGGGCACCTGGTGGGTGCCACCACAGGCGGAGTTCAGATGTGAGGACACCCTGCCCGTTGGGTGCCCTCCTGAACAGTGCCCGGCCCACCCAGTCGTGCTGCTCTTCGGGGAGCGTCAGCCTCCAGCCACGTGGTAGCAGCTGAAACACACAGCAGTGTCAGACCGTTAGTGTACTGAACACAGACACACACACACTACAACACAATATGTCATCACTGAGCATACCTGTGCGCCGGGGCCTGACCTCTCCCCACAGGTGTTGTCCTGAAGGGGACGTTCCGGTGGCTGGGAGAGAGAGAAGGGGGGGCACGGCTGATGGGGCATCCCTGCACGGGTCGACCTCCATGGCGGCAGCGAGCAGGTCAGCATCCGAGGGTCCATCCTGGGGACCAACAGCGTCCAGGGGTGGTTGTGGTGGTTGTGCTGCCAGGGCTGCCTTCTCTGCATCCCGGGCCTGCACATATTTTTTTAAGTCCACCAACCTGGACGCTTTGGCTGTGGGTGCCGCCTGCCTCACAAACTGTACATAGCTAAAAAAGAGAACAGAAATGCAATGGGTAAAAAAGTCACGCACACACACAGACATACACACACAGACACACACAGATACACACACAGACACACACACACACACACACACACAGACACACACAGACACACACAGACACACACACACACACACACACACACACACACACACAAACAAACAAACAACTTACCTTGCCCGCTCACGGTCCGTCGACTCGTACAGGGTCTTGTAGGTCAGGTCACTATGAACACCGAACCCCACCAGCGTGTCGTCCACGCCCCTCATGGTCTGGGGACTGCCCTCGAGCATCCTACGCCTGTCGATGGCTGCCACCATCGGCGGGAACAGCCTGATGGTGATCGGTGGGGTTACCTCCCTTCTGCACCACCCTGTCTCTTGCCTCAGAGCGCACCAGCTCAGGGGTCTTAACCACCACCAGGGCAGTGGCAGAGGCAGAGGCCCCCCCTCTGGCGGCGGCTCAAGGCCAGCGCCTCCTGAGAGGCCCGCAGGGTCAGGTCAAGGTTTGCCTCAAAGCGGAAAATAGGCTGCATTTTCTAGAAAGACAAGAAATAAGATTTAAGTCAGTAATCTGCTACACATGCACTGTTTACATCCTACTGACCGTCTATTACTGTACTCAATGATACTGTGCCCATTCATTAACATACATTCAACATCAGGCGTCCTGTTTACACATTTAAACCATATTTACACTTTGAATTTTGACTTCAAACTGTAGTAACTACATCTACAGGGTCTAAGGAAGATAATCAGGTAGTCTGTTTAAAGATTAAATACATTGTGAGAGATCGCCAGCCCTCAGAAAAGTAGTAACTAAAATGACCTCATTCACCTCCTTGTTTTTAGCTAGCAAAATCACGGCTGGTCTGTTTACACATTTAAACCATATTTACACTTCAAATTTTGACTCCACCTCGTTGTACCAGCATACCAAGGGTCTTAAGAAGTGAGCCAAGTTGTCTCATCACGTTTTTAAAGCGTTTCCAGAGATCGTCAGCTCATCACAGCAGTGGCTAAATGCTCATTCATTTCCAACGCTTAGCATGCTAATAGCGATTTATATGCTAACGCATCTAAAGCACAGTTAAACTTTAAATATCAACTCCACACAATAGCAGTACAATATCCTAGGTCTCAACAAGTAAACCCAGTATGGGAATATTATTTTAAACACATTTCACCGATCGGTAATGACATCGGCGGCAGTCCTAACTTACGCTAACGTTACATTGGCTCGCTGTTTCACTGCTAACTGATTACTGTATAATATATAAGCTGCCTTTTCAATGTAGCACATAATTTTACAAACAATAAAGTTTGTCTAACCATATAATATTGTGTGAATGTCCGTCCGTCCGCTCACTCAAACGCCGCTCAGTCCGAATGAATGAATGACACTGACCGTGGCTGTGGCTTTGGGGGTGGGCGGGACATGCGGCGAGCTGTCGAATCACAGCACAGCACCCAAATGGAACAGACCAATGGGGTTGACCTGGCCTTCACCCATTGGCCTGTTCCATTTGAGCATGAGCCAATGATAGCCTCTGAAATCGGTAGGTGGGGACATTTATGTGGAACACAGGTACAGAGACGAAGGCTGTCCCAGAGGCGCTCCCCCAGCGTTCTTCTCTGTTTTGGCGCATGCGCACTAGAGCGCAAAAGACGCGCGGTCGACGTGCGGAACGGCACTCCCGCTCGCCGGTTCGAATCCCGACGGAGGCAAACTGCGAAACGCGTGCATAGCGTCGAAATGTCTTCTCTAAATATAAAAAAATGATTAAAACATGCTTGGAACCGTTGTATAGAGTCTATAAATGATAATGAATTTGCATATTTCCAAGGCCAGGCAATGCAATAATAAATGGATTTTTCATTTACAGTACGGTTTATCTCCTGTGTCTTCATTTTATTGAGAATATGTATCATCAGTGTTTATTGAGAATATGTATCATCAGTGTTTATTGCTTTAAATTTGATATAGGACAAGAGAACAATGATACCAGTATAAAATGATGACAATTTATTTGAAATATGAAGTCAGATGTCCAGGATACAGGACAGTGCAGCATATCAGTGTGGAAAGGGCTTTACAAATAAAATACAATTCTCAGTAAAAAAGGGTAAATAAATTATTTATGTATAAATTAAAGTTACATGCTGTGTATGATTTGTTTCCCCTTTTTCTTCAGTGAAATAAATATCAATTAAATATATTGTTGTTGTGTTCTGCATCTTCACAACAACAACATCAAACACAGCAGAAGTACAGAGCAAAATAGATTATTTAAACTACAATCCAATAATAATAATAATAATAATAATAATAATAATAAATGGTGATGCAGAACAGAGCAGTGGCACAAGGCAATCACAGCAGGCAGACACATAGTATAAGAGCTCAGCACAGATATGCATGGATACATAACACAGGGGCATTACAGTGTGAAGTACCTGTACATACAAGGCTTTTTATTTTTTTGGCAGCAACAGAGCCAGTGGCAACAGCAGATGAACCAGCACAAATGGCAGTCCGATATCTTGCGTCGCAGCTACTGGATGTAACTGATGTAACAGTGATCACATTAATGAACATACCCACATGTCCAAAATATAAAAAATAAAAAAACTTGTCAGTGCATAGAATCAGAACAGCACAGAGGCATGACAGCGTGTTATACAGGTGTGAATGGGACACACAATGATTTCCCCCTTAAACCATATGACAGGCAGCAGACACACAGCAGGCCTATAAGACTTGTCAGTGCATAGAATCAGAACAGCACAGAGGCATGACAGCGTGTTATACAGGTGTGAATGGGACACACATTTTTTTCCAAGCAGAGTGTCACTGTGCTGTAGAAGAGTTGTGGCAGGGTGGGTGGACCAGTGTTGGTAGAAAGCCTCCACACTGCGGCAAAGTCCCGGTCCTTGTGGAGGGGAAAGTCAATGTCTTTTTAAAAAAAAAACACACACACAACACTGCAAACAACTATATACACCTGCCCCAGCAAGAGTGCGAAATCAGTCCGGGTCTCGACCCTGGTCCCTCTCCTTCATCTCCCTCAGCCAGTCCTCCACACTCTTACCCGCCGCAGCAGAGCAAAAATGTCCACTGCCGTAACGGGTGTGTCCGGTCTCCCTCCGCTTTGGCTGGCCGCACTTCCTGCACTTCTGTACTTGTGGCACGCCGGCCCGGGCAGAGACACCTGTTCCTGGCGGTGCCGCTGCCCTCTGCTCGGCCTTCTTCCTCCTCAGCCATTCAGTTTTGTACGTAGAGAGAGGCTGAGGAGGAGGAGCAGGAGGTGCTGCCTGCACTGCTTGTTGTCCTTGCTGTCCTGGCAGCAGCTGCAGTGCAGGCAGCTGAGGGCCGGCGTGACGTGCGGCGGCCAGCGGCAAAGGGAGGACGTGTTGGGCTGGCGTTGTCCGAGGGAGCGTTGGGATGGGGGGGGGATGGGGAGCACCCTCACACTCTGCTGGGGCAGTGAGAGGTCCAGGAGGAGAGGCTGTGTAGCTGCAAAAGGTCCCGTTGCAGCTGCTGCAGCAGCTGTTGGTGGTACGGCCAGGACAGCAGCTGAGGGGGCAGGCGGTAAAGGCGCCAGTAGCCGTCTGCACACAGACACCGGTGCTGCCACAGCCGGTGCTGCTGCCAGAGTTACCGCCGCCCTTGCCGCTGCTGTCGTCGCCTGGCCACCGCGACCGCCGGGCACTGCTCACACGGGTGCCTGAGGGGCACACGCGGCAGAGCTGGATGCACACTGCCTCTACCAGCCGGCTTGCACTGGGACTGCTGGCAGGTCCAGAGGTCTGTCCGACCAGGCAGCTGCGGACAACGGACAAAAACAATGATGGATATGAGCATGCTGTGAACATTACAATAGCTCGTGTGTACGTCAGGGAAACGTGTGATGGAAGTGTAGCCTTACCGTCTCATGTTCTCCACACCAGGTATACTGGTGCGGCTAGGCTTCGCTGCCTTGAAGCGCCCCCGAGCTGGCCTGTCCCTGTAGGGGGGAGGGTAAACTACTCGGTCCCTGTCGAATTTTGACAGGGCCTCGTAGAGCCTGATTAGCTCATCTACCCTCCCCTCGGACAAGGCCGGTTCGAAACGCAACCCCACCAAGGCCGTGGCCAACTGGACCACGGCCAGGTACCCCGGCTGGTCATCTGGTCCTCTGTAGTCCTGCAGACACACAAGCAGAGACAGAAAACAATCAGTCAGATGAATGGGAGGAAAAGAGCACAGTGTGGTGATGTGAGATGCAGAGGTGGCGTGCCTACCTCAGACGCAGGGGGCGTCCAGAGGAACAGCCGACATGCGAAGAAGGCAGCTGGTGAGGCGGGTGGCTGAGTATAACTCGGCCGGGGCTGAGGGGGATCCCACCACAGCTTGAGGTCCGTGGTGAGTTTAGTCCTCCCCTTGCTGTCTGGCTGGAACAGCTCCCGGCCGATCCACTCCTGCTCTTCCACGGTGAGAGCTGTCCGCCAGCTCTCAGGCAACCGGGCCTGTGAGGAAAAAAACAACACAAACAAACAAACACACTGTAAGGAGGCTGAGTCGGTGCTACATGCAGTTTGACAGTCGACTCCACTGAGTTGTGCGTCCATGAGTACAGGTGGGTGTGTGTGTGTGTGTGTGTGTGTGTGTGTGTGTGTGGTGTGTGTTTGTACCTCAGCCGAAGCAGGAGTGGGAGCTGCGGGCTGCTCCACATTCCTCTCCTTCCTCTTCCATCTCCACCTCCTCCGACGGTGCCGGAGGAGGTGGAGATGGAGGCGTCACCACCAGCGGGAGCGGGAGAGTCTGAAGGACCTGTACGTCAGCTTCAGACACAGTCACACACAACAAAATAGATTCAGCACAATGATAGTCATGGGACAAGACTAAGTGAGTCTGAGTGTTGATGACATGCAGTATGCCAGTGATTAGGGCAGAAGGTTTAGTGCTACAAGATGCAGCAGAGCCAAGGGTAGTAGACATGTGAAGGCGTTTAATCAAATCTACATTACCGCCACATGAGTGAGGATGGCACTACCACCTACGAAGATGGCTATATTACCTGCCAAACCTACCTTTGTCCTTCAAGCATCAGCTGTAGCGACCAGTAAATGAAACAATTACAGTTAATAAAAAACACACTGACAGAAGAATATATATTGATGGCAAATGTGACACGTCCAGTTTGGTGCCAGTTACCTGTTTCTATGTCAGTGGCCATCTGGACCAGTTCCTCGTCCGTCACCTCTGTGGCGTGGGGCGGCGGCGGAACCGAGGGGCGCTGGTCTCTGAAGGATGTAGACACCGCTATGGGGGGTTGGGCAATGGTTAGTAAATCATGTACAGTGAACTGTACTCTGTTGTGTTAAAGAGAAAGAAAGAGATCTACCTCGAACTGCAGGCTGTGCAGGTGTGGTCATCAGCTTCCTGACCTTGGCCTGCAGCTCACCTGGGCCCATGGGACGCAGGCGGCGATCTTGGAGGCGATCGGCTTGTGTGGCTACAGCGCGGTGGAAGCAGCGGCCTTGCTGGGGCCACTGCTGGTGGTGGTGGGGGCGCTGCTGCTGATGCTGCGGCTGCTGGTGGGTGGAGGGGGGGTAGCAGCCGCAGCTGCCGCCTCTGCCGACCGCTTCGCGTCTCGGCCCAGGATGTACTTCCTGGCGGCGTCCATTGCAGTCCCAGGGTGCAGTGTCTTCCCTCGAAGCCACTTGACAAATCTACAACATGGACGGCATCACATTAGTGAACAATAATGACATACAGCAATTCACAATCCATTGTGTGTAGCACCAATCACTCACCCTTGGCGGTCCTTATCAGAGGACTCTTACAGGTCCTTCAGGGTGTCCTCTTTAAACTTCCCAAAGCCAACAAGGGCCTCGCCCTCACACCCGGGCTGACTGGCACGAGCCCGGGCCTCCTCGTGCGCCCGGTGGAATCTTATGTGTTCAGCGAACTCCGGGTGGGCGCACGAGTACTGGGCGAGAGCGTCCTTGTTGGCCATAAGGGGGCTGTCGGAGGCACTCTTCTCCCGCTCCCGCTGGTGGCTGGCGACCAACTGTACCGTGTAGCCCACGTCGTTCTCCAGGAGCCAACGGAACGTTTGACCCTGGTACTTCCCAAACTGGATGCTGTGGCAGCTCAGCACCAGCATGTGGTTCCCAGGGTCACCGCCCGTGGAGACGACGTGGGCTTGTGCCTCCTTCTCCACCTCCTCCGGCTTCTTGGCCCTCGCAGCAGCGGCGGCCCCGCGTGGCCCCTTGGCGGCGATGTAGGCCACCGCCTCACCAGAGGCCCGCAGGAGAAGCTGCTGCGAGGCTGTGAATTGCAGTTTTGCAAAAACCATTTCTACAATGACAAGAAATGACACAGCACAGCATTAAAGGAGCATTACAGGTTAAACTACATATTAACTGCTATATTACCAGGAATATCACACATAAGATTAATGATATACTGTTACTTCACATTCACTATTGAAACATTACCGTTAACAAACTAACATCACGTGACACAACAGGTAAATAATGAGCCCAGGGTTAGCCCCCTATGCATTGGCAGCCATTAAACAAACAGGCTTATTGTTAATGTATAAAACATACACTTAAACTTTATCTTTTGATTTCACCTGGTGATATTATAACCTTAAGGCTCTAAGGACATTAACTGTATAGTCTTTTCATACTTTAATTTTGTTTTCAGAGATCGTCACATGTTGTAATTATACTGTAGCATCCTAGCTACAGCTACGTTACATTACATTACATAATGGCGATCTCTCAAAATGTATTTAATCTTTAAACAGATTATGTGCTACAGCGAAAAGGCAGCTTATATATTATACAGTAATCAGTTAGCAGTGAAACAGCGAGCCAATGTAACGTTAGCGTAAGTTAGCACTGCCGCCGATGTCATTACCGATCGGTGAAATGTGTTTAAAATAGTATTCCCATACTGTGTTTACTTGTTGAGACCTAGGATGTTGTACTGCTATTGTGTGGAGTTGATATTTAAAGTTTAACTGTGCTTTAGATGCGTTAGCATATAAATCGCTATTAGCATGCTAAGCGTTGGAAATGAATGAGCATTTAGCCACTGCTGTGATGAGCTGACGATCTCTGGAAACGCTTTAAAAACGTGATGAGACAACTTGGCTCACTTCTTAAGACCATTGGGATGCTGGTACAACGATGTGGAGTCAAAATTTGAAGTGTAAATATGGTTTAAATGTGTAAACAGACCAGCCGCGATTTTGCTAACTAAAAACAAGGAGGTGAATGGGGTCATTTTAGTTACTACTTTTCTGAGGGCTGGCGATCTCTCACAATGTATTTAATCTATAAACAGACTACCTGATTATCTTCCTTAGACCCTGTAGATGTAGTTACTACAGTTTGGAGTCGAAATTCGAAGTATAAATATGGTTTAAATGTGTAAACAGGACGCCTGACGTCCACGTTCAATATTAGCATAAGCTAACCAGAGAGTGCCGGCAGAACGTAATAAAACATTAACTCCATTCAGTACATCGTAACAGTACAGTGGGGTCGCTGTGTTATATCAGTACATTAATATTCTATTTATTTTGGTTTTACTCACTCTCTCAGATCTCACTGCTCTCTCAAATACACACGGGGATTTCTGTCCGTCGCATACGGCAGCCGGTGAGGTTAAGAGGTGGGCGTTAACGTCTAACGCTCGACTAACGCTCGACAATCCGAGCTGCTGATTGGCCCAGAGCTGACAACGCTCGACTAACGCTCGACAGCACTGGCTGCTCATTGGCCCAGAGCTGACAACGCTCGACTAACGCTCGACAGCACTGGCTGCTGCTCATTGGCTGGCATACAGAGACCATTGCTGGTCATATTGCGCGAAGAAGCAAGGGAGCCGTGCGGAGCGCCGAGGGCGGCGCGCGAGCCGGCCCCCCCGGCCCCCGGTCGGCCGCATTTCCCCGGGCTCGTGTGATAAAGAGCAGCCCCAAAGAGCCTCTCCTTCTATTTCTCCCGATTATAACGCCAAAGAATTGGAACGATCCCCCCTTTCCCCCCCCTTCTCTCGACATGTGTCAGTCAAAAGCTGTTGTCCTACGTCATCCCGAGCACATGGCTACTTATCATACGGCGGCGACACGGAGAATTAAAGGCCCCGCACGCATTTAAAGCGACGAGACCTGTTTGGTTAAATGTACATTAATATTTGAATGGTTTTGGCCTCATGAATGGCTCCAGGTTTGTTTGGTTAAATGTACATTAATATTTGAATGGTTTTGGCCTCATGAATGGCTCCAGGTTTAAAAAGTTAAGTTAAAAAATATTTAAATAGAGAAGACAAGGATTTAATCAATTAAATGTTTATTAGAAAGGTTAAAAATGTATAACATAAGCAGGGAAATTGCAGTGTAGAAGCAGCATTACACACAGTAACAACAAACACACACACACACACACATACACACACAATCAAAAAAAGCAATATAGAATGCAATATAAAAAATGTATAAATAACCAGTATAATGCAGTCCAAAGTAAAAATAAAAAATATAAGGTGCAATGAACAGATGAAACATATAAGGTGCTTGGATAATTTTAATGTTTTTTTGACCTCTTCTCAGCCAGCCACAGCTCCACAGTCTTCCCTTCATAAAGAGCACAGAAGTGCTCTCCCCCATATTGGCTGTGGCCAAAGTCTTTCTGCTGTGGCTGGCCACAGAGCTGGCAGATCCTCAGTTTGTGGGGCTTCCTCACTTTCCCCCCCGGTTTCTCTGGTTTCTCATACCTTCATTTGAGGTTCCAGGCTGTTGTTCTGGGGAGCTTCTGCAGCTCACCAGGGCCAAGCTGTTCCCTGGTCCACTCTTGCACTGTGCGTCCTCCAGGGCCCTCTTTCACAGCACAAAAGTATTGGCCCTTGAAGTACGCGTGGCCACCATCCACCGTGCGTGCTTGGTCACAGATGTAGCAGGGGTCCCCAGGCTGGTGCTGTGGCTTTCCCCTGCTACTTTGGAGGACTTTTTGTCCTTTGCCGCTTTAATTTTGCGCCTGTAGACAGTGCAACGGGTGGGCTTGCTGGTCCCCGCCACTGGCTCTGCTGCCTGAAGCTGTCGAGGAGAGGAGCTGGAGGAGGAGGAGGATGACGAGGAGGATGAGGAGGCTGAGGAGGTGGAGGATGAGGAGGATGTGCAGTCGTAGTCCCCTAAAATATAAAATACAATACAGAACTCTGTTAGTCAAGGTACATAGAAACACATATGTAGTTTTAAAAAGTGTATTTGTAACAAACCTAATGAAGTGACATGTCTGGTTTTTCGCTTTGCTTTTCTGCCTTCCATTCTGTCCAAATAAAATGCTTGAATGAATTGACTGTCTGTTTTTTGCCTTTTTTTTGAAACCCCTCTTGGGGGAGACACACCTACCAGTTCGGCCCTCTCTCAGTCCGGTCAAACCCCCAAGTTCTCGCAGGAGATAAGAGCCCCCCTGTTGTTTTAATCAGGAAGCCAGGAGGTGAGAAGTGAAGGCCCCTCGGCACCCCCTGTTGTTTTACAATGTCCACTTGTAAAAGGCCAATTCTCACCTAGTCTCTAAGTAAGCCTTTGAACCTGACCTGGTTGACCCCTTGACCCTAGTTTCAAGTGAGGAGAGGGAATGATGTATTGTGACTGTAACTTGTGGGGATTTACTGATATCAGGCACCTATTCTAGATACCTAGTCTTCCCTATATTTATTTAATTTCTTAAAGGCAGAAAGAAGCAGGAGAAAGCATTGGTTTAAAAAAAGAAAAGTTTATTTAAACTAAAACAATTAAGACAACTATATACAACTATATAGATATTGGAATTTGCCCATTGTGGGACAAATAAAAAGGTATAACTTATATATGACAACTATATACATAATATTAATTTAACAAACACAACTGACTAACTAAATATACTATATACACAATATTTACAAATCCCTCCCTCCCAAACACACACACACACAAACAAAGTGTTCGCTCAGGGAGGGGGAGCTGCCCCATCACACACACTCACACACACACACACAAAGTGTTCGCTCAGGGAGGGGGAGCTGCCCCATCACACACACTCACACACACACACACACACAAAGTGTTCGCTCAGGGAGGGGGAGCTGCCCCATCACACACTCACACACACACACACACACAAAGTGTTCGCTCAGGGAGGGGGGGCTGCACCATCACGCCCCTTCACCTCTGCCAGCCACTGCTCCACAGTTCTCCCTTTCCCGTCGGCCCGGGAGCAGAAGGTCTCCGTCTTGTAGCGGCTGTGGCCAAACGCCCGCGTCTTTGGTTGGCCACAGTGCCTGCAGTTGAAGTGGGAGACCTTCTTTGCTGGTTTCATATATTCTCCCAGCTAGGGTTAGGGTTAGGGTTAGGGTTAGGGTTAGGGTTAGGGTTAGGGTTAGGGTTAGGGTTAGGTGAGGGGAACTGAGCTGAGCCCACCTAGGTGGGACCCAGAGGTGCACTGTCACTCCCTATGAGCAGCCAGTTCCCCCGTCCCCATCTTCCTTAGTTGGGTTTATATATAATTTACTATTTAAATTATTTTAGACTGGTTTTGCCTTTGTTATATCAAGTATAATTTCTCTTTTTTTGTTTTTTCTATTTTTTTCTATTTTTTTGTAGTTTTTTTCTTTTTTTGTTTGGCTTCTTCTTTCCCTCCCATTGTTATGGTTAACCTTTTGTTTTTGTATGTCTGGCCTCGCGACGTTTCGTCCCTAGTTGGGACTTCTTCAGGCATTATGCCAAGACATACATTTTTTTTCTTCTTTTGTTTAGTCTTCTTTTTTGAGTTCTAATGTTCTTCTTCCTTTGTTTAGGTTCTAATCTTCTTTTTCCTTTTATTTAGGTTCTTCCGAGGAGATGCTGCTCCGTCGAAGGTTCGTGCCAAACTGATGCTTCCACTGTCTGTAACTCCCTTTTATACTCTCCGCCCCCTTTCTGTCTTTGAATGTTCGTGTCTCCTTACTTCTGTCCTGTATCCGTATTTCCATTAAATTATGTTTTCGTGTAACCGGTTTTCCTATTTCCCTTTCCACTTCTTCTCCATTCTTCTAACACCAATTCTTTTCCTTTAATTTATTCGTGTTCATATTTGTTTTACACTCATCCCCCTGTATTTCTTTGCCTTGTATTTGTGTTTATTTCTTTGGCTTTATACTTTATTTGGGTTAGGGTTAGGGTTAGGGTTAGGGTTAGGTTTTTAGAAAAGATTTTTAGAATTCAACTAGTTAGTTGAAGGAAGGCACGGGCACGCAGCCACTTAAGTGTTTAGTCCCTTTCTCCTTTTATGTTTCAATTACACCTAATTGGTGTATGTTTTTTTCTGGTCCAGGTTACCATTGCTGGTATCCTGGGCCTTTTAGTGTTTTCTTTGCTCCCTCTTATTTCTTTTTAGCCTCTATAATTCTGATTTGAGAAGGGATTAGGGTTGGGGTTGGGTTGGGGGATTCCACCAAGGTGGAGGCCCCAAAATTGCACTCGCCACCCTGCGGATGGCCTGCACTCCGTCTCCATCTTCTCTTATGAGGTTTATATGTACTCTTTATATGAGTTACATTTAGACAGGTTCGCCTTTGTTATATGAAGTATAATAGTGCTATTTCTGGGTTTTCAGTTGGCTCCTTTAAGTTCCCTCAATGTATTTTTATTCCTTTATTCCACATGTGTTCTCTCTCATGTATGTCAGATGGCGGTCGCGACGTTTCGTCCGCTTCTTGGGACTTCTTCAGGCGGCCATGACATACAGGTATTCTTTTTTTCTCTCTTTTTTTCCAGGTAGAGGTAAGTATCCCCTTATGGTGAGGTAAGTATTCCCTTTGGTTTGAGGTAAGTATTCCCTTTAGTGGAGGTAAGTATTTAGTTGAGGTAAGTATCCCCTAACAATGAGCCCCTCTGGGGACATGTGGCTCCCTCAGAGGGCCGTGCCCAACTGAAAACAAAATGTCCGCTGCTCCCTTTTATGCTCTGAACCCCTCCCTTTCTGAGAATTCGTGTTTCTCCTCCATGTGGTGATTTTCTCTAACCGTTCTTTCCCATGTCTTTTTCAATAAAAATCCTTTGTTTCTGGCTCCAATTCTTATGCCTTTAATTTATATAGTGTTCATATCTATGGTTAACACTTGATCCACTGGGTATGTGTGCCTCCCTTTACTGGCTACACTTCATCCATTTTACTTAAATGCCTACTTTAGTTAGTGGCTTCATCCATTATATGGGCTTAGAAAATCCTTCACTGAGGTTAGAAATAAATTAAGGCCAGTGTTTTGGAGTCAGGGTGGGGATCTGAACTGAGTCAGGCCTGGGATTTAGGGTTAGGGCCTCAAAGGGGGCTTAGTTAGGGTCCAATTGGTTAGGGTTAGTTCAGAAGTATATGGGCTGGGGTTAGATGGGATTTAGACTGGGTTAGCTTATAATAGCTTAGCATGGATAGGAGCACAGACCATTGACCCACAGGAGGCCCTGGCTGGTTAGGGTTGGGGTTGGGTTGGGGGATTCCACCAAGGTGGAGGCCCCAAAATTGCACTCGCCACCCTGCGGATGGCCTGCACTCCGTCTCCATCTTCTCTTATGAGGTTTATATGTACTCTTTATATGAGTTACATTTAGACAGGTTCGCCTTTGTTATATGAAGTATAATAGTGC